AAACGAATAAATACCTGCTTCCTTGCCCGTGATCGTGCAGCCGACTCCCGATTCTTGATCATCCTTTTCTGCCTCCTCTCGACGCTCTTTTCAACTATATCGAGTGGGGCTCGTTTTCTACTGGACGTCTGCGTATCCGATAAGTTGCCCATAATTGGTGAAGAGGACATAGTTATTTGGTTCTCAGGGTAAGCTACACTCTCCATCACTGGATTCCCACCAATAGGAATGGTCTGCTGAACCGAATGCCCCGGAACAAAAACGGGCATCATGCTCGGCTGTGGTTGCTGAGGATGAATAGAAGGGAATGGATAACTCATCCACTGAGATGCTTGCTGCGAAAGCTCAACCTCTTCAGTTAGAGATCCAAGGTTTTTTTTCCCCGAGACTGCCCCAGCCTTGACCAAGAAATCCTCCAATGTCATCTCGCCAAGTGTCGCCTTCCTATCCAAACGGTATTTTTTATGGTCCTGCTGGATATCGTGCCAAACCTCGTCAACTGTCTTTTTGCTCAGATCGTGAGATAATGTGACGCTAGGCTGTCGGTTTAAGGAGGAAAGCAATGTGGGCCGGCCAGAATCGCCACCTTCGACAGTTTGATTAGTGTTGTTGGGCTCACCAGTGAAAAGGGTCTTCAGAAGTTCATCAAGATTCATGCTACTTAGAGGCTTTCCCAAATCTCCCAGTTGGTTTTCCATCTCAGCAAAAGTGAGGTTGTAAAGGGAGCCTTGCCGGCCCAGAGGATTGGGCTTCAGGTCATGAATTGGGATTTGGGTTCCCCCAAAGGTATTTGCAGCACTCCTTCGAGATGCCATTTTCTGAGCAACCATTCAAATGGAACACTTTATTCAACTGTTCTCCTACACACTCTCTTCCTCCCTCTCTTCTCTAAACCCACAATCTTGAATAACTTCCACAGAAATTAAATTCTAAACCCTTCTATTGATGGCTGCGAACAATATCCTAAACCCCAAAACGTGCAAGAAATGGAATGATTTTAATCTAGCAAAACAGTGAAAAAAGGGAATATATAAATAGAGCCCATCAAATTAAAAAAAAGCATTATTCCACAAAATGCAAAAGATTAAATCTTGGAACGCAAAATCAAGAAATAGATCAAATCCCACAGGGTGATTGAAGAACATAAAATAATTGAATCTAAAATTAAAAAAGAGAGAAAAAAAAAAAAGGTGTAAAGGTGAAATCGAGAAAAGGAACATACCATGGGAAATTCAGAAACCCAGAAAGCGATGGAAGTATCGGAACAAGATTTGAGTTTTACATGCAAAACAGAGGCGTTTCATCATTTATCTGCAAGAGAATAAAAAAACCCAGAAGCCATGCTGCAAAAACCTGAGCTCAAAGTCCTGATAAATGAAAAATATACATGTGGACAATTAAATAAATACTGGGAAAAATGCGCGAGCAAAAGGAAAAAAATCACACCCTGTTCTATTCTCCGGAAAATGTAATTAGATTTTAGACTACATTAATTTTTTATGGTTCAAGTGTGAAAACATGGGACTCGATTGTATTACCAAAACCTCCTTAAATATATTAATAACTTCGAACAAATTAAACAATTCTTGACAATTGACCTTTAATTACATTCTTTGTTACGGTACTTGTGCCCCCTCCCAGTGCGAAAGTTAGAAATTTTTATTAATTAACTCAATTGCTATTCATCACTCTTTTTACTAGTCACTGCTTCTCATTTACTCTTTTACCCTTAAATCTTATTTCTCTAAACTTTTTCTCTTTCTAAATTTCCGAACTTTCAACGAGCGATTCGAGCACCGAAAAAAATCCAAAAAAATGTCGAAAAAATCCTACGGCCTCGGCAAAGGACTCTTCTCTAACAAGGTAATTTTTTTTT